GTGGAAGAAGAAACTGATTTAAACATATAAATGTGGGGAAGCTCTGGCCAAGAGAGACAACAAACTGCAGGTGGCGGATCTTCCTCAAAATTGTCCAGTTAAGATATCATCATGGAGGCACCTCAGTCTGAAAAGTGATTACCTGCACGACAAGAGTGTAGAGATATTTGCTGCAGCGCACCTTGAATTTCACATTGTCCGGGTTTCGCTTGATTTTCACCGACTTCGCATCCTTGCGTCGTGCTGTCATCAAAAACTCCTTGATTTCTTTGATCTCTTTCGGCATTTTCTGATCTGCAAAAAAAGCGAATTTTGCATACCGCACTCTTGTAGTCTTATTGTTAAGCGTGAACAGCGCCACCACTCCCCAACACCCTCACCTTTTACAGCTCATACACAGCGATCGAAAATCAAGAAGTCAAAATCCCCTCTGTATTAGCTCTTTGTGGAAAGCGGAGGCAGCCCGCAAGTAGCCCGTGTGATTGCAAATGCTGACAGAAAGTATCCGCTCAGAAGGCTATCGATGACCCCCTCTCTGCTGAGAGCTTCTTGCAAAAAAGTCGCGAATTTATCTTTACGGCATTAGCCTGTACCAATTTACCATCGAAATAAGTAAACGAGTCGTAGAGCGGTAGCAGTGGAGTCGAAGCTTCGACCATCTGCACGATAACAGTGCTACTTCCCAAAAATTTTGCTTTTGAGACTGCTACGATCCAATTTTATAAAACCACCAACAATTCTCTCAAAGGAACGACAAAGCAGTGGATCGGAGAATGTGAGTAACAAGATTTTGAAAAGGCCGAGCAACGGGCGAGGAGATGCAGCAGTGGTCATCGCAAACGCAAAAAAAAACCGAGACTTCGCCCTCGAACGCTGTGTACACACACGTTACAATGTCCGCCATCAAGCACACAGTGCTGCTGCACAACCTCCGCAAAATAAGCTGGTATCTGCATCAGCAAAGAACCTGCAGCGAAGCAACCAGCAATGACCAAAACCGACAGATCTATGAATGATTCTACGTGGAAGTCGATGCGGTGCTAAGCAAAAAACAGCACACACACACAGACACACAAACACACACACATACACACATATACATAAAGACGGTTCCGAGAGAATCCAGTGCCAAGGCCAGTAAAAAGGGGACATGTCGAGAAATGAGGAAGGCCAGACCCCTGTTGGATGCATGAACAACTGGCACACGGCAATGAGAGACGGAATGGCATGCTTGCTTGGCAGAAAGCAGCCACGAAGCAATGCATCAAGTTGCATCACATCTCTGATAAAGCCGGAGAGTGTTAAGCCAGGAGGAAGGAACGCCTGGGCAAGCCAGAGGCAAAACTACTGGAAAGTGGCTCAGTCAGGCGATGCTAGAAAATCTTAGCAAAAGCCCAGATCCGGACGGACAGCCTGTACACAGCTATACCGATCCAAAAAGCGTAAAAGTAGATCAGCACGGGAAGGATGACCCAATGCTGCTTTGTCAACAACGAAAAGAAACATGACGATCAAAAAGCTCCCGTGAAAAGCTCCCTCTCGTAACCCAGAACAGAGAGGGGAGTGAAATATAGCCCATCAAAATCTGGGTAACCAAGATCCCGAACATTGCCGAATATCCATTCCCCTGCCCTCCTTCTCACATTCGCCCTCACCCCGGCCCCTTCCCGCACTCTCCCAGCGCCACTCAACCCTCCCTTCACTAACTGTCCACACAGACACAACAAAAAGCGACACACCCGACCCCACACAGTGCCATGTCACAAACCGAGACTAAAGGCATACCTCTCTCGTCAAATAAACAATCTTTCAGGCAGAATGCCAGCAGGTCCGACAAGCGTTTGAAGACCGATTTTCGTGCAACAACACTCGTCGAAAACATTCCAATTTCCTTTCGTTCGCACAAAATTCGAATAAAATGCACGCATATTTGAAGTAATCCACAGACATATTGCCAATAACGTGTATGCTTTAAATATATTGCCAGTAATCTACCTAATATTTATTCCGAAATTTGTGTGCTCGTTGTGCACACGTAGCATACCAACTACTGGTATTATTATAATTACTATTTTTGCTATTAATAATAATGGTATTGCTAGAAACTATCATTATCGTCGACAATAATACTATTACTGTTGTTATCACTATTATTATTTACTGTTACTACTATTAAATTGCGAAAATGAATACCGCCGGCAACACAGTTTGTGAAAGCAATTCAAGATTTTGGTTTAAGATTCATTATTATTATTATTATTATTATTATTATTATTATTA